CAAAAAGATTATTCACCATGACCAAGTAGGCTTCATCCCAGGATGCAGGGGTGGTTCAACATACGAAAAATCAATAAATGTAATAAACAATTAACAGAAGCAAAGACAAAAACTTGATCATCAATAGATGCAGAAAAAAGCCTTTGATAAGATCCAACACCATTTCATGATAAAAGCTCAAGAGAAACTAGGAATAGAAGGAAGTACCTCAAACATTATAAAAAGCTATATATGACAAACCTACAGCCAGCATTTATACTTAATGGAGAAAAACTGAAACCATTCCCTCTAAAATCAGGAACCAGACAGGATGCCCACTATCTTCTCACTCCTATTCACATAGTACTGAATTCCAGCCAGAGCAATTTAGACAGAAAAGGAATAAAGGTTTCAATAGGTTAAGAAACTGTCAAAATGTCCTTATTTGCAGATGACATGATCCTTATACCTTAAGACCCAAAAACTCTAACTCAGAAGCTAGTAACAAACCACTATGGAAAAAAATTTGGAGGCTTCTTAAAACTAATATAGATCTACCATTATCCAGCAATACCACTCTTGGGGATATACCCAAAAGACTGTGACACAGGTTACTCCAGAGGCACCTGCACACCCATGTTTATTGCGGCACTATTCACAATAGCCAAGTTATGGAAAGCCAAGATGCCCCACCACTGACGAATGGATTAAGAAAATGTGGTATCTATACACAATGGAATTTTATGCAGCCATGAAGAAGAACGAAATGTTATCATTCGCTGGTAAATGGATGGAATTGGAGAACATCATTCTGAGTGAGGTTAGCCTGGCCCAAAAGACCAAAAATCGTATGTTCTCCTCATATGTGGACATTAGATCAAGGGCAAACACAACAAGGGATTGGACTTGAGCACATGATAAAAGCGAGCACACAAGGAGGGGTGAGGATAGGTAAGCACCTAAAAAACTAGCATTTGTTGCCCTTAACGCAGAGAAACTAAAGCAGATACCTTAAAAGCAACTGAGGCCAATAGGAAAAGGGGACAGGTACTAGAGAAAAGGTTAGATCAAAAAGAATTAACTAGAAGGTAACAACCCAGCACAGGAAATCAATGTGAGTCAATCCCTGTATAGCTATCCTTATCTCAACCAGCAAAAACCCTTGTTCCTTCCTATTATTGCTTATACTCTCTCTACAACAAAATTAGAAATAAGGGCAAAATAGTTTCTGCTGGGTATTGGGGGGGGAGAGGGAGGGGCGGAGGGTGGGGGTGGGGGGGGGGGAAGGGAGGGGGTGGGGGCAGGGGAGAAATGAACCAAGCCTTGTATGCACATATGAATAATAAAAGAAAAAAAAAAAAAAAAAACTCTAGGAAGAATAACCTAGAAAATGTTTAATACCGTCTCAAATAAGAATATTAAGTAGCTTGTGAATAACTGTGTCTCTTTATACTACTAGATATTTTTAAATGGTTTTATGCACTTTCCTATTCAATAACAATAAAATGAAACCATTAACATAAAAAAAAAAAAAAAGATCAACACCATTTCATGATAAAGCTCTAAGAAAAACTAGGATAGAAGGAAAGTACCTCAACATTATAAAAGCTATATATGACAAACCTACAGCCAGCATTATACTTAACGGAGAAAAACTGAAACCATTCCCTCTAAAAATCAGGAACCAGACAAGGATGCCCACTATCTCCACTCCTATTCAACATAGTACTGGAATTCCTAGCCAGAGCAATTAGGCAAGAAGAAGGAATAAAAGGAATACAAATAGGTAAAGAACTGTCAAAATATCCCTATTGCAGACGACATGATCCTATACCTTAAAGACCCAAAAAACTCTACTCAGAAGCTTCTAGACATCATCAATAGCTTAGCAAGGTAGCAGGATATAAAATCAACATAGAAAAATCATTAGCATTTCTATACACTAACAATGAGCAAACTGAAAAAGAATGTATGAAAACAATTCCATTTACAATAGCCTCAAAAAAATCAAAATCCTAGGTGTAAACCAACAAAATGTGAAAGACCTCTACAAGGAAAACTATACACTTCTGAAGAAAGAGATTGAGGAAGACTATAGAAAGTGGAGAGATCTCCCATGCTCATGGATTGGTAGAATCAACATAGTAAAAATGTCTATCTCCAAAAGTAATCTACATGTTTAATGCAATTCCCATCAAAATTCCAATGACATTCATTAAGAGATTGAAAATCTATGTTAAATTTATATGGAAAACAAGAGGCCACGAATAGCCAAGGCAATACTCAGTCAAAAGAACAATGCAGGAGGTATCACAATACCTGACTTCAAACTATATTACAAAGCAATAACAATAAAAACAGCATGGTACTGGCACAAAAACAGACATGAAGACCAGTGGAACAGAATAGAGGACCCAGATATGAAGCCAACAACTATAACCCTTCTTTGACAAAGGAGCTAAAAATATACGATGGAGAAATAGCAGCCTCTTCAACAAAAACTGCTGGGAAAACTGGTTAGCAGTCTGCAAAAAACTGAAACTAGATCCATGTATATCACCCTATACCAATATTAACTCAAAATGGATCAAGGATCTTAATATCAGACCCAAACTCTTAAGTTGATACAGAAAGAGTAGGAAATACTCTGGAGTTAGTAGGTATAGGTATTTCTCAATGAAACCCCAGCAGCACAGCAACTAAGAGATAGCATAGATAAATGGGACCTCATAAAACTAAAAAGCTTCTGTCATCAAAAGAAATGGTCTCTAAACTGAAGAGAACACCCACAGAGTGGGAGAAAATATTTGCCAGCTATACATCAGACAAAGGACTGATAACCAGAATATAGGGAACTTAAAAAACTAAATTCTCCCAAAACTAATGAACCAATAAAGAAATGGGCAAGTGAACTAAACAGAACTTTCTCAAAAAAGAAATTCAAATGGCCAAAAACACATGAAAAAATGCTCACCATCTCTAGCAATAAAGGAAATGCAAATTAAAACCACACTAAGATTCCACCTCACCCCTGTTAGAATAGCCATCATCAGCAACACACCAACAACAGGTGTTGGCGAGGATGCGGGGAAAAAGGAACCCTCTTACACTGTTGGTGGGAATGTAACTAGTACAACCACTCTGGAAAAAAATTTGGAGGCTACTTAAAAAGCTAACATTGATCTACCATTTGATCCAGCAATACCACTCTTGGGGATATACCCAAAAGACTGTGACAGGTTACTCCAGAGGCACCTGCACACCATGTTTATTGCGGCACTATTCACAATAGCCAAGTTATGGAAACAGCCAAGATGCCCCACTGACGAATGGATTAAGAAAATGTGGTATCTATACACAATGGAATTTTATGCAGCCATGAAGAAGAACGAAATGTTATCATTCGCTGGTAAATGGATGGAATTGGAGAACATCATTCTGAGTGAGGTTAGCCTGGCCCAAAAGACCAAAAATCGTATGTTCTCCCTCATATGTGGACATTAGATCAAGGGCAAACACAACAAGGGGATTGGACTTTGAGCACATGATAAAAGCGAGAGCACACAAGGGAGGGGTGAGGATAGGTAAGACACCTAAAAAATAGCTAGCATTTGTTGCCCTTAATGCAGAGAAACTAAAGCAGATACCTTAAAGCAACTGAGGCCAATAGGAAAAGGGGACCAGGAACTAGAGAAAAGGTTAGATCAAAAAGAATTAACCTAGAAGGTAACACACACACAGGAAATCAATGTGAGTCAACCCCTGTATAGCTATCCTTATCTCAACCAGCAAAAACCCTTGTTCCTTCCTATTATTGCTTATACTCTCTCTACAACAAAATTAGAGATAAGGGCAAAATAGTTTCTGCTGGGTATTGAGGGGGGGGGGGGAAGGAGGGGCGGTGGGTGGTAAGGGAGGGGGTGGGGCAGGGGGAGAAATGACCCAAGCCTTGTATGCACATATGAATAAAAAAAAAAAAAGATTTTTGAAAACAAATGTTCAGAATATTAAAGAAGATTCGAAGAAATTATATGAATTGTGAAAAAACATAGTATGTAGAAACGAAAAAAGGCTATACAATGAGTGGTATGAAATTAAGTAATGGAAGTTAAAGCATTTTTTATTTGAAAGACAGCTAACCCACTGGTTTTCTCAAGACAATTCTCTAAAAACATTTAAACTGAGAACACACTCAAAATTCCAATAAAATCAATACACAGTGCAAGGGAAAGACGAAACCCAAGTTTGAATGTGTATAAAAAAAACTCACAGAACAGTCTTTAAACTCAAAAGATAACACCCGATTCTAATGCCAAACACATAGATCCTCTTTTCCAAGTTTCTAATCACAATAACCAACTACCTGGAGACATTTCACTGAGATGCCTTCAAGAGAACTCAAATTAATCTGGATTATTTCCTGAAATCTGCTCATCAGTACTTTATCTAGAGATTCAACATTTGTAAAGTATCTATTTTTCTTGTGCCTTTCTATGGCTTCACCAGTATACATGGGGAAATGATATACCTACTACAAAGAATATTTGTGGTTAGCTGAATAAAATCATGCAAAGTTCTGAAGATGTCTTGCTAACAAAAAGTACTGTGTAAAAGTTACATATTGTTTATTACCTGGAAACTAGTCATTAAAACTAGACATCTGTGAATCAATACAGGGTGATAAAAATAATCATTGTTCTTATTGTTAATGTATCTGCTTTGGAAAATATGACTTATCCCAAGTTTAGTTCCAACTTTGCTTCTGTCCAATTTTTATGTCAAATTATAACACTCTTGAAATAATACATAAAAAGTTGCTGCAGAGAAGAGTGAGCTTCTAAACAACTAATTCTACATTATATTCACTGTTTATAATAACACATAATTACACTGCATTGTTTACATATTAACAGTGTAAAATAAGTTTAAATTCTCAGCTATCTGTCTGCTTTCACTTCTTTTTTAAAATTTGTTTCTTTACATGATTTGTCATGAATAAAATTACATTTCAAATAACGTACCTTTTTTCGGCTCGTACTTTCTTTCCACAATGAGAACAAGTGTACATGTTGTCACCTTCTAAGGTGTCTTTAATAGTAACCTCATCAAGAGATTCCTGTGTATAAAACCACATTGTAAAGTTCGTATTATTTACAAAAAAACCAATAATTACAGATTGGCCACATTTGCAGCAGAGGAAAACCAAATTTGGTTTATGCAAAGTGAATTCTTAATTTTAGTAAAAAATTATTTCTTCCCCTCATATGAATCTTACAAAATTTTGCAAAGGGTCAATCTTTACATTTTGATTGGGCAAATACCAGTTTTGTGGTCTACCTTTAATTCTTACTTAAATGGCAGAGGAAGAAGAAAATACATGAAACAGTTCATTTCTTTTTTAATGTAACATACAAATCTGCTATATAAAACAGTTAAAAGCAAAGAAAAATCCTAAAAATTATGGCCATTACTCACATAAATGTTCTTCATATCAGCCACCTGGCACCTCACAGTATAAAACTCTCAAGCAGTTTTGAACTATCGTGTTTTTAACAATTCCTGACAAGTAATAGGCAAAAATTAGAAATTTATTTATAAGCTAGAATATTTCAGATCTCCCGAAAGCAAAAACACGTATAAATACTTACCAAGGACACGACATTGTTTGTAATTAAACCCTCCAAACAAAACTTTTCACGGTAATTTTTTCTTTAAAAACACAAACAAAAGTCAGCAAATTAAAATGCAGGAACAATTCTGTCCCACAAAGTCAAAAACTTTTCAGTATGCTGGCACTAACCAGTTCTGGAGACTTTTTTCAATTTTAGTAATCAAGATCATAAAAACTCTGTCATATCTTTCTGCTTCCCCAGTATTAGAGGCTGTTTATCCTTGTATACGTTTTACCGAAAGGTTAGGATTAATATGCTTTACATCATCTCCTATAAGAAAAAGATGGAAATGATATTAATAAAAATAAGAAAACAGCCATAAACAGGTTTTCAAAGGATAAACAAAAACGACAGTAAATCTAAAAGAAAGGTTGTGGGGTTTTTTGTGGGAAGAGAGGAAGGGTTATTAATTGGCTGTTGCTTTTTTGAGATAGGGTCTCCATAATGTGACCAGGCTGTCCTCAAACTCACAATCCCCTGCTCAGCTTCATGTTGGGAATTAAGACCTAGCCACCACATCAGCAAAGGAAGTTTTGAAAATGTTCTCTTTATTTCTTTTTGTTAGGTTTTCATGGCATTTTCATTTTAACGTACTTGATGCCAGAAGATGCTTAAATTAACCATATGCAATTACTATTTTTAGGTAAAGGAATTTCTAGGAAGGAATTTGGGCCTCAAAAGACTCAGATTTGTATTGTGAAGAAAATAACTTTGGAGGCGAAACATGTTTTCCTAACATGACTGAACTATCTGTAAATAGTTTTATATAAAAATGAGATTAAAATCAGAATCAAGGGAACACTGGTATATCTTACTTTTGTTTAAAAAATTTATTCAACCCTTACTAAGTATTAGAAAATGAAAAATACAGAAACACATGTGACACAATCTCTGTCCTCAAGATAACAACAGTAGAAACAAGTAACTTCAATTACAAGAGGTAGAAACAACAGAGAGGCATGGAGACTTGAGTCTGGTAGAAGGGGTGTAAACCAAGGATGACAGTAAGGCAAAAATGAAGAAGAGTGCTGAAGGAAGAGTGACATGCACAGAGTGGCATAAGTAACTTTACAGCTCCAAAGGGCTTACGAGTTACTAGGTGGTGAACTGATTATGCAGAAGAGAAAGAAGAGGAGACCGAAAAGGTAGAGATAAAATTACAGAGGATATGTGTCATGCAGATGACCTTAAATACCATCCTATTCATAATGAAGAACGACTGAAGTTTAGATTACCACTGTAAGGCTTGGATCTTCTTAAATTGATGCAACTTTTACCATTTTGGGATGAAATTAAGATGAGAATTAAAAAGAAGTTTAATTAGAAACCTTGCGGCATTAAAGAGAGTGACCTGTGACAGAAAAGGATCAGATGCCAAGGAACTTTTCAAAGGACAAATTAACAGGATAACTTGAGAAATTGTGACTGTTAAAAAAAAAGCCATTATGACAAAGATAGGTAACTAAAAAAATTCAATTTAAAAACTTAAGAGTAAATGCAGACTTGATGAAGCACAGTACAAATTCCATGTGACATTTTTTTAGACTTTCAAAAGAATAAATGTATATTTTCTCCCATGATTTCAAACATATCCATTAAATAATGTAAACATTTTCTGAAAGCTCCAAAAGGTGGTTTTGTGCTTCATATCTTTGAAACTGGAATCCAAGAGAAAATTTCCCATCAAAACATACTAGTAGTAAAACTGACAGGCCTACAAACAAAATCTTTCAATGTGCATAACACTAACATCTGTTTTTTCATCCTCTAGCTGAATGTAGGGATAAACACTTTAATTATTTATTTTCTTCAGAAATTATAGTAACTAAAATTAGTTTAGTTTCTTCATTTTTCAATAACACAGTGATCACATTATGTTAAGAGAACTGAAATAGGGAAATCTTGAAAACTGCTTTTTAGATCAAACACTCATTTGGTACAATGACTGACAAGAAATGAAAATATTTCAAAGTGTGCAATAAATTGCTTCTATAAGTAGACTCTACATTAAAAAATACAGAGACATTAAATGATACTTCACCATCATATAATCACATTTTTACTTTCTGTAGAGTAGAAATATACTTAACAATAAAAGGATCCAGCCAAGATCTTTGAAAACTGTCTAAATTGCAGAAAATACTAATAACCAAGATTAGGTAACTGGGCTACACACACTAGAACTGCTCTAAACAGCAGCCTTACAGGAGAGATCCATATAACATGCCAGACTC